CACCTAATGTGTAATGGACGTGAACAACACATCTCGAAGAACAACAGTTACAGAAGGTAAGTAACCGTTCTAAGTCATGTTTGTGGTATTTGGCCATTGGTGCATTTTTAACATGTAGCGCATTAGCTTGCTCCACATACTAAATATTGATTTAGAACAGTTGTACTCAGACTGCCGCTTGTGAGTGCAAGTGGCTCTTTGATGTGTCTCCTGCAGCTCTTGAAACAATGAATTCACACTACTGTGGCTCTTTTGGGTAATGGTGATTGCTAATTTGGCTCCTGAACCACTGAGGTCTGAGTATCACTGATATAAAAGATCTATTTGAGGAGTAAGGTACTGTTTCATCAGAGTAAAGATGACTGAACCAGGTCTTTAAAAGTATCAGAAAGACAAAGGGCTTGTCTACACTTGGAAGTTTATTGAAATAGCTATTCCAGAATAATTATACTGGTAAATTTCAAAGAGTAGACAAGCCCATAGACTCATTTTGGTGAAAATAAAGAAGAGGTATGCATTATTCTCCAATCTGTATATTAGAAAAAAAAGAGGGAAACTATGAGAAATCTTTTTCTTTGCCTCATTAGTATATTTGTTGTACAAGTTGCAGACACAGTATTCATAGGAAGCTAATTACCATCTTTCTCCATGGCCTTGTAATACTGTAATAGTCAAAATATAAAATGGAGTCTGAGCTACAGTACATTGAGCAATAAATGCTTTGGGAAATATAAGAAGAATTCTTATGCTGTATAAAATTCCCATCTCTTATCGTATCCAGATTTTGTCTTTCCCTGTTATAGCCAGACCCCTCTTAAGGTAAAAAGTATTGCACAAGTTAGGTTTTATGTCTTGAAATTTGCTATGCTATAGTATCTTGACTGTTAGCAATTTAACAGCATTATAAATATTCCATAAAATATAAAGTAATAAGAGCATTCAATTGAAGAACTAGTTAGAAAGAACTAATGTGTTGGAAAGAACTAATATTAACCTCCGGATTCTCTAAGTCAAGAATTTCATGTTTTTGTAATATGTTATTTATAGTATGATAATTTCATAGTCTGATGGTTTTTAAACTATTATGAGTAGTTTGATTATCTGAAATGTTCCCTTTAAAACATTTTATAAGAATATATATATAAATTGTAGAAGCAACCACACTTATTGAAAGTGCAGCCCACAGACTGAGTTTCAGAACCATATTAAAGAAAATCTTTAAAAATTATGCTAAACAAAACCTAATAATAATACATATTTTTTTAATTGTTATTTTATATTTCAAATTTCAGTGGAAACAGTTGTTTGGATTAAAACATTTTCTGGCAGTAAAGGTTGCAGCAGTATGATAGTACATATGAACCAGCAGTTAAAACTCACTAACCACAAGGTAAAACTGTTTAATTGTGAAAGCAAATTATAATGCAGAAAGCAAAGAAATAGTTCTAGTGGTGAAAAGTAAATTAGATTTTTTAAAGGTCTGTTTTAATAATAAAAGGATTTATTATTAACAATGGTATGGAATTTTAGGAGTGCTTTTTTTTTTTGTAGGTTCTACACAGAATAATGCTCTTTATTTTTAACAAATATACTTTTTTCAGAATTACTCCTCTGGTTCTTCCTGACTCTATTCTTGCAGTTTAGTTAACAATAGTTACTTACTATGACTCTGGACTGAAGGAAATTTATTCTGATATGTCCAATATCTGACATTATTCACAGACTATCACCCACTGTTAACGATGCTTTTGAAAAAATTGTAGCCTACCCAATAAGGTGTGTAGTACAAATAAAGCTGTCTTGAGTGTAGTCAGTCCCATCTTCCTTGTTTCCTCATTAAAACAAGAAATGTACCTAATTTGTCTGTTATCTCCAATGCCTGATCTCAATTTTTTAATTTTTTTTTGTAATGTTCACTAACTGACTTTAAGATATTTTAAAGAGACATTAACAGCACAGTCATGTTACTCCAGTAGCCAGGGATGACATCTTTATCATCATATATCCACTTGTTTCATTTTAAAGGTTATCAGACATGTGGCTAGATAAAGCCCAGAGAGCTTTACAGTACAGTTTGTTTCTATTTTATCTTTAATCTGGTGGAGTGACCTCTGGAAATTTATAATCTGGCCCTTGGATTGTGAGATAATTGAGGCAGCTACCAGATTCCCTCTCTGTCTTTAAAACACCTTTCACACTTTTGGTTCTTCTATAAAATGCATTTAAAATGGAGCATCTTAAATTGGAACCTGTAGAATCCGTGGGCCTGTATCTCCATTTCAAAAATGAGGACAACCAAAAATCTGCTCTGTTATAGTCAGACTACAATGGCGAGGTTGACAAGTTTTAGACACCCCTGTTTTAAAGAGAGACTGACAAACATGGTTTATTTTACACTCCATTGTTTGGAATGCTCCTGTGTGACCGCTGGTTCTTCAGGGACAAACTACAAGGCAGACTCAAGGATGGTGCAAAAGTCCACAGAGTTGATTGAGGCAGTTCCCAACACCCCGACTGGACAGGATTTCCCTGCAACAGTCTCATTAGGCCCCTCAGGGCTATCCGAGGCAGCACAGACAGCCCAATAGTCTTTTTGTAGTAAAGCAAACAAATAGTGCCAAAACCAATAGTCCTGTGCCAGGCCTATCTTCTTCCAGAAGGCTCTGGCAGTCAGGAGTCTCTGTGGAAGTTCTGGGCTGGTCCTTTTCTCAGGGAGCACAAGATCTATTCTCCCTGGTCAGTACACCTACTGGGCTGTCCTCTTCCCTTTTTAACTGGCCTGTCATTATCTGACAGTAAGTGCAGGTATAGCAGGGCAAGGCTGAGTGGGCCCACTCTAGCTCATTAACCCTTGTTGACTCAGTGTGGGGCTGGTGTATACCCAATCACATCCCTAAATCTTGAAAATGAAATTTTACATCAATTTTGTCATTTTTTCCATTTGGGGAATCTTGATATAGTTCTTGTGTTTCTAATGGAGACAGTTCATTCCATTTAACTGGCTCACTTGTACTCTTGTCTTGATGATGTTAGCAAGAATAAGTGTAGCTCTAGGAATAGTGTTTGTTTGCTAAGTACTGCTGCTGAGCCAACAGGAGAAGTGCAGTATTCCTTTTTCTGTGTAGAACCTACCAAAAAAAAAGCACTCCTAAAATTCCATACCATTGTTAATAATAAATCCTTTTATTATTAAAACAGACCTTTAAAAAATCTAATTTACTTTTCACCACTAGAACTATTTCTTTGCTTTCTGCATTATAATTTGCTTTCACAATTAAACAGTTTTACCTTGTGGTTAGTGAGTTTTAACTGCTGGTTCATATGTACTATCATACTGCTGCAACCTTTACTGCCAGAAAATGTTTTAATCCAAACAACTGTTTCCATTGAAATTTGAAATATAAAATAACAATTAAAAATATATGTATTATTATTAGGTTTTGTTCACATCTTTCTTAATATAGGCAATATTTAAAATGTGAACTCAAACTTACGTAATTTGTGTCTTTTAAAAGAGGATATTTAGAAGGTCAACCAACTGGATAGAATTATATGTCACATTCTGAGTCTTAACTGCTTGAAAGGATTACTTTGGAACAACATTATCATTCTGTTCTTGGAACTTTAGTTGTTTCACATGTTTGGATTTTCAGGAAGAGTAAGATCTCTGTACTGTTTTGTTTAAAATTCTTTAGAAAGAGAAAATAGCCCAACAAATGTCACTGGATCAGTTCCTAAAGCTATAAACTTCATGGTCATGTCTAATGACTTGCCAGGTTTTTGGCTATGTAAAATAGCTGTGTACTTGGTGAAACAGTTACAATAAAATAGTTGTAAGTCCACAGTCCCTGGACAATTCAAGCTGTTACAGCCTTGTGGTACTTTATTTTGATATGGTTGATAATGCCACTCGTATCAGTCCTGTTTTTGTCCAAGTGTAATTGACTATAAAACAGTAAAAATGTGTTAAATGTTCAGAAAAAAATATTCTCTGTATGAATTACACCTGTCCTCCGCTGAATGAAATTTATAAGAGCTAGGTATCTTCATATGGGTCATCCTCTCCCTCACCCCACCCCCTTTTTAAAGCTAAGGAGGTTTATGTAGATTTCAATGATTCAGTAAGTAGAGTTAAAGTATATATATTTCACTCTAGCTATACAATCTGTATTTGCAATCTAACTGAAGAAGGCAATATGGACATTTATAATGTTTTTGCTGTGATGCATAAAGAATATAAAGGCTTCTCTACTGATGGGAAAACTGAAAGGTGGAATGGAATAATGAACCATTTTCACACGTTTAGTTTCCTCTTTTACGTTTGATACTACAGAGCAGCAAATACTTTAGAAAACTGCTAAGACTCTCCAGTAACTATAGGGAGTAAAACATATGTATAAACTAACACCTTCCCTTGAATTTGTTTATCTAATGAAGGGAGTTTGCATGGCGGGATCCAGAATTGCCTGAAGTCATTCACATGCTTCAGCACCAGTTCCCATCAGTTCAAGCAAATGCAGCAGCCTACCTTCAGCACCTGTGCTTTGGAGATAACAAAGTAAAAATTGAGGTACAGTGTTGATTTTTTTTTTCTGTTTCGCGAAGAACTGCAAACAACGAGCAAGTACACTTTTCCCTTTTATTTTGATCACAAAAGTGACTGTAACACTTGGATGTAGATCAGTGGTTCTCAAACTTTAGTACTGGTGACCCCTTTCACATAGCAAGCCTCTGAGTGCGACCCTCCCCCTTATAAATTAAAAACACTTGTTTATGTATTTAACACCATTATAAATGCTGGAGGCAAAGCGGGGTTTGGGGCTGACAGCTCGCGACCCCCCATGTAATAACCTTGCAACCCTCTGAGGGGTCCCAACCCCCAGTTTGAGAACCCCTGGTCTAGATGCTTTTAAGCATGTGTTTGTACTAGAGGCATGTTAATTCTGAGAATTCTAGATAAATTAACACTTCTCTCTTACTATCAAGTGAAAATCATTAAAAGTGGGTAATCCAGCAAAATTGTATTACTAGTATTTAACCTGATGTCAAACCTTATATTATTTCTTAAATGTAGGCTTAACAAAATCAGCATTTAAAGAACTACTACTGATAATTAAGGGGTTCCAAAAAAAATTTACATAGGCCTTCCACTCTTTTTAATGCAAACAAAGCAAAATTTGTGGTATGCAGTGAAGCACTAATCAAAACAACCTTGAATATTTATGGAGCTATGGAAAGGGTTTATCAAGTGTGATATGGAGGGCAGTTATAGGTACATGGAAGAACATAGTTAATGTCTAGAATTTATATAAACTTTGTATATATAAGGGCTACTGGCCATCATTTTATTCCTTTCATACAGCAGCAATAAAATATCAATTGTTGAAGGAATCTGTTATGTCATACGCATCTCACATGTGCATCTTATTCACCATTCCCCTTATACAGTGTTATTTATTTTAAAATATTTAGGTGAAAAAATGGAGATGGAGCGAATAACCTAACCAGCAAATTATATGGGAGCACAACTGGGATTCCCTTTGTTTTTGTCCTACAGTCTCTTTTAGTAGAGATCCTTGATCTCCCTTCACTCAACAATTTTTAGTGTTTTATTATCAATAATAATACTTCATGTTATGGTGGAGCACTTGCACTCTCATAGTTAAATTTGCTCCTAGTTTTTCATTTTAAGAGATGAAAATGTTCTATGTTATCTCTTGTTTGGAGTTAGAAAACCAATTTCAAGTGCTCATTGTTGTTCATGAAATGCTTGCCATTATTTAAAAAAAACAGGTTAGATATTGCTATTTTGAAATACACTGTCCAACAACAAAAAATGTCCAGTGTCTAATGGTTTCTTCTGACCCCCTTTGAAAACATACTATGGTAGACCGAGATATGAAATTAAGTGTGTGTGATTCTTTGCAATGACCACTTCGGAAGAATGTTTGATAAAAGTTGTAATTGTAGTTGTGTTAATTAATTAATATTGAAAAAGTTACTGTTTTAAATGCTGATATAAGTTATGTTGATACAGTTTTACTAAGGATATAAGGTATGGTAGCATAGGAGCTATGTCCACACAATGACAAAAAGTTCAGAATCATGTGATGTATCAGACATACTGCTTAACAAATCACCAAAGGACTTCAGAAGATGCTGTTGTAACCCATCCTAACACTGTATGGATTTGTCCTTCTGAGGGCTACACCATAAGTAGTAGCTTATGAGTTTGCTCCTCCCTTTATTGTCCTGGATCTAGTACTTCAGTTAAAGCACCAGTAGTTTGTTCTTTCAGATCCAGAGATTCCAGATTCTCTTCAGAGAGATACATGTGTGGAATGAACAGCTATGGACACCTGAAGAACCCAGATAGGAGCAGAGTGTAACCCACACTTACACAAAATGTCTTTGTTACCCTTAAGTGTCTGCACCATATATACAAGTTTGAGTCTGCTACGGCCTCCAAGTTAACAGACTTTACCTAGTCCTTCAACCAAGGCACTAGAGGTTCAAAATTTTAGCTTCATGAATCCTAGGTTTAATTCTGTCAGACACACATGAAGATTTGAATTTCTGCAGACTACCCGAAGCTCAGAACAAGCATCATGGGCATGAGGAGTATATAACCCAGGCTGTCACAGAGTGGCTTTTTGTCCCCCTCTCATGGCTAGATGATATGTAATACATCCCTAATCAGATCATCTGCAGGGGACTGAACCATTGACCTGAGGATGTAAAAACCTGATCCTCTACTTTGAGCTAAAGGATGATGGTCATTAGCTCAGACAGTAGCAGATTCATAAGCTTGTTTGAGGTGGAGCCACACTGTTAGCGTGGGTCGATGCAATATTTTCAGTAGAGGTGGTGGTTCGAGGCATTTTGGAATAAGTTATAGTTTACAAAGGCAGAGTACAAAATGGGGTCAGTGTATTAAATACTGACACTACTTCAATCATGTGTTAGCAAAAATGATAATTTTTGTCATTTACTGCTGGCCTTGACTGTCAAAGAAGTGACAACATAGTAGTCAGGCCTGCTGGTGGATTGCAGGTATTCATCCTGCTGCTGCAGTTGCTCCTGCCTTTCTTAAATTTCCAGAAGTTCAGGAGATCTTGTAGCATCTTTCAGGAAGATACAAGATGACTCACAGAAGATTGCATGGGAGAACATGAGTCTGAGTCTATCTTTCAGGAAGTGAATGATGACACAAATTCACTCACAGAAGTTCTCTGCAGCTGACAGGTTGTTATTGCTAAAAAATAATGCGGTGATCTTGACAACAGTTGGTTGGGAATTTTACATTAGAATTTTTTATTGACAGAAAATGTAGTTTCTGCAAAATGTCAATTTTTCACAGGATAATTTTGATTTTGTGCAAAAAAGGAGGGTGAGGGGTCAGTTCAACTAGTTTGTAGAACTGACCCAAAAAGTTTAGTCTTGAGTACTTTCAACATTAAACTGCATTTCCATGTGATAGTGCAGTGCCTCATGGGAAGTTTTAGTTTACAATGCTTGACGGAATAGGGAAATTAACATAAACAGAAAATTATGTTTAGTCAAAGTCAGGCTTGCCCTAGGGACCCAGCCCACCTATCCAAATCCTTGAAAGTGTAGAAATAAACTAAACATCTGCGTTCCTTGCCATGTTCATGTTGCCTCCAACACAATTGCTAATACACTCAACACTCCATGAAGCATTCACCTCCATCTCCAACACATACTGGAAAGCAATAGATACCTCACTTCATCCAATTCACTCTGTCATTAAAAAGCTTAATGACAACCACAGCAATGTTAAAGCAGAATAAATTTCCAAATGAATGGGCTATGTAAACATAAGAATGGCTATACTGGGTCAGACCAAAGGTCCATCTAGCCTAGTATCCTGTCTTCCAACAGTGGCCAGTGACAGTAGAGATATGACATCTGTGACAGTCAGAAATGTTGATCAGTTAATATGAGAGAACATGTGGTCACCATCAAGTTTTAATGCAGCAAAGCAAATTGGAGTCTGTTATCAGCAGTGTCATAGGTGATGTGAAGGTGGTAAGGAGTGCAGGAGATATTTGCCGTGACTTCTTATTTTCATGCTTTCAAGGATTTAGGTGGGTGGGATGAGTCCTGATGAAATCTTAGCTGTCACTAAATGTGGTTTGTGTTTGTTAATTTATACAGTGCAGTGGTTCCCAAACTTGTTCTGCCGCTTGTGCAGGGAAAACCCCCGGCGAGCCGGGCCGGTTTGTTTACCTGCCGCGTCCGCAGGTTCGGCCGATTGCGGCTCCCAGTGGCCGCGGTTCACTGCTCCAGGCCAATCGGAGCTGCGGGAAGGGCGGCCAGCACCTCCCTCGGCGCGCCGCTTCTAGCAGCTCCCATTGGCCTGGAGCAGCGAACTGCGGTCACTGGGAGCCACGATTGGCCAAACCTGCAGACACGGCAGGTAAACAAACCGGCCCGGCCCGCCAGGGGCTTTCCCTGCACAAGTGGCGGAACAAGTTTGGGAATCACTGATATAGCACTTTTCTTCCAATAATCTCATTGTGTCTTTACATTCATTAAAATTATTAGTGAAACAGTTAAATTAAGTGACTTACCCAGGCTCATCTAAGCAAGGCTGTGGCAAAGCCTGGAAACAGAACCCAGGAGTACCAAAATGTACACATAAATATCAGCAAGCAACTGACTTATGTGGCTAAAATACTCCGAAGTGAGAAAAATGTTTGATGACAACGCTTTATTTTTCTTGTACCTGTCAGTAGAGATAAAGATCCAAATCATGGAAGTTGCTAAGCACCTCCTGTGATGTGCTAACTTGTGTGATTTGAGAGCCCTGAACTACTTGTCAATTTCAATACTCCTCAAAGAGTATTGAAAATTACAAGAAGCAGCAGTATTTATTATACTGTATGAGGTCACAAAATGCTCTTCTTCCTGGACAGCAATTGATTTCACTTGGAGGCTTGTAAATTCCTCTCCTTGTAAACTGGAGTGAAAGATAGCCCCTGACATCCTCATCTGAGATTAATTTTCTGTGTTCTGTACTATTTCCTCCAGGTATCCTACTGTACTGTGTTTGAGTGTAGGATGGTCTGTTTCATTTAATTTCTTGTGTGTAAAATGGAATTGTGCCTATGGTGATGAGAGAAGGGGCTGGGGGGTATAGGAACTAACACTTTTGATCTATTAGGCTACTGAGAGATTGAGCTGACAGCTGTGTTCCCCAAACAGGGAAAGCATAAGTGCCCTGGAGTCGGCAAGAAACCCGGTGCCAGATAAGCACTGCAAGCCATCAGCCTCGGAGCGAAGTAGGCACTGCTCATCCTCCCCGGTGCATCCCAAGACTAAACCAAAGGAAGGGCGCAGACGTTCCCCACAAAGGAGACCGTTGCCATCTAAGGGCCCGGGCACCGGGAGGAGCATGATGTACCAAGTGAACTCAGTGAGGACGACGGGCTCGAGGGACTAATAGATCAACCCTCCATGCCTGACACCTTTGAGGCGGCGAAGGGACTCATTGGGTTGTCGGCGCTGAGCCCCATCCCGACCAGGGAGAAGGCTCCGGCACCCGGG